ATAATAAATGGAGCAATATTATTATAAATCAAAATTTCTAAAAGGACACTACTTGGAATCCGCAGATTGTATGGGATCAGATACCTTGTATGAATATGTTAAATTAGGTAATTCAATCCATACAATTTGAGGTTATATATGTTCAGATCACCATTCTTTTTTTTCAAGAGGAAAGCAGATGTCTATTCTCATTTTGTGTCTAGTCATTCTATTGAGTTACATCTCTAAGACCAATCTCCTCGTGGTTTAAGGAGTGGAAATATGACAATCATTTCATTGTACAAATACTGATGATAATAACAACTATTGCAAGGAGAAACATAGGCTTTAAAGTAAAATGACATTTCAATTTTCAATTTTGTCCACAAAAAAATACAAAACCTTGAGCGCTTTGAGAGAAAGAGGAGCACACAGGAAGGACATAAAGTGCTGGTGTAAACTAAAAGAACGACAGACACAAGTAGGAACAGCTTGTGGCACCCTCCAACCATCTGCCAAATTCATATTTATACGTACATTATGTACTTAGACGTCTGTTAGAGTAGTTAGCCCAATTCATTACATTCAACGAAATACACAGATAATACACAAAAATAACAAAGGTTCAGATTTGAGTAGCTATAGTGGTTTATTTCTGAGCGAGACTCAGTGGTGAAGGGAGCATTGTCCCTGTCCTTGATAAGTTATCTCAGGACCAAACATTTAAATCTCTACACTACAACATAGACAGCAACTGATTTAACAAGGAATCAAAACAAAATTATTCATCCTCACACGTCGCAATATGACCTCGTTAGTCATGGTCCATAAGAACTTTGGACTTTTAATTATATTACCTTTCTTGCCAGCCATTATATATACATACTTTTGCAAGTGCACGTTAAAAATAAAATTTGCTTCACAAAGCAAGGTTTAATCCTAGAACTTAATGTCAAAGAGTAAGTACAATTGAACAGGTCCTGTCTAAGACAAACTACTTTTCTCATCAACAATGGGTGGCCCTCTAGACATTACCATTGTTGCAATTAAAAAAGAGGAGGTAAAAAGATCCAGACCTTTTTTTCTTCAATTTCAAGAATGAAAAGAAATGACTCTACAGTTCTTATTCTAGGAGACAAAACATGAATCAGTCAGCCAGACTCCTTTAATGTATGGTTATAATAAAAAGGCAAACATAGTCCTTGCTTGGATTTCAAGAAAAACTCCACTGAAAATTTGTCTCTATGCAGGTCAATGATACAGCACAATCAATCCCCTTTTCAACTGTGTAATAGCAGCCTACATTTCCAAGACAGAAAGTGGGCATGTATACAAAATTAAATGATAAAAAACTACTAGACTGCAATTTTAAACCCCCCCCCCC